ATGGTGTGTGTGTGTGTGTGTGTGTGTGTGTGTGTGTGTGTGTGTGTGTGAGACAGAGAGAGAGAGAGAGAGAATAAGTTCATCAGTTGCTTCTGTATAAAGTGTGGCTTGTTGGTATGATCATCAGTTGCTGATAATATTTGATCATTTTTAAGGTGAGTAGTATCATTCAAGATTGTGATTCTGTTCATTCAGTTATCACCCTCAAAGCGTTTTATTGTTAATCTACGTTGTTAATCCCCTTTTTAACATATAATCATCTTGAGGAATTTCTGTATCCTGTTTTATTTTTAATTTACTATTAATTGAACTGAATTTTTAGTCAGTTTAGTAAGTTCGATGGTTTGAAATACTCTGAAGGCTTGAGAGCATTTATTTGTTGCTTCTTTCTAGCTGGTAGTCGATCCAGCTCTCCTGGCAAGTTGTTGGGAAGTGCATATGGTGGGCTTAACAGTGGAACAACCAGAGGACACCCAGTGCCAACACCATCCTCATCTTCTGACAAACGTAGTAAAGTCCCTCGAAGCCAAGGCTGCAGCCGAGAGACCAGCCCCAGCAGGATAGCTCTAGGTAAGAGTTTCCTTAGCTGCAATATAGAGCCAGGAGACTGATTTGTTTTCTAATGCTGATTGGCCAAAGGAATTCCTGAAATAAATTATGATTTTGCTACAGTGATTTCATAGTTATGGTTTTCTGCTGAGTTTTTTAATAGCATGATAGGCAAAGAGAACAGCAGGGCTTAGATAAAGTTGCCAGTGGGATTAGCATAAATTGCCTGTGTTTATACTGATGATTTTAATTAGAAAATAGCCCTTCCTTCAAATATGTATTATTTCCGCTTTCACTTGCATGGTTCAGTGCCATTCTATGATACCAAATATGTTGTCCTACATGTATAGTACAGGCTTCTCCTCCTATACCCTCTCTTTGAGTGATAGATATGCTGCTCTGTTTTTGTCTCTGATCAAAAATTACACCTATTACTTTCAGGTTAAGTACTGAACTTCGTAGGGTTATTTTCTAATGAACTTGTTAGTACCACTATATGTACTATGGCTGAATTTCAAGAACTGTTCTATCATCAAATATATTAATTATATACAAATGCCCACCTGCACGTTACCAATATAATATGGTAGCCTTGGCAAATCTTATTGTAGAGGTTGAAAATAGGATGTGAAATTGAGATATACCAATGCAGATTTGGAACTGGGAGCTCCTGATAAGCAAGCAAGACAAGACTAAATATAGCAGCTTTAAAATCTGTTCTCCCAGTTTCAGGAAACAAGAGGTGGAAGGGCATGCAGAGGGTGGGGGAATGGGACAGAGAAGGGCTTTGAAGCTTGCATCAGAGAAGGAAAATGAGAACAATCTCACAGACATTTGCACAAATAGGCAAGGCAGAATGCAGGGAGAAGAAAATAAGACAGACGAGTCATAGATATGCTTAAGATCAATAGATTTAGCACCTAACTTGGCCAGTGAGGTCATTAGAAAAGGTTTGGCTATAGACTTTGTGGTTAACCAAGAAGTTTTCAACCTTTGTGGTACTACATCCCCTATAATAATAAATTTCTGTGATCCCAACCCCATGAATAACATTAATGATTTCACTGTGTATAGAGTATGGCAAGAAATAAATATATTGCTTACTTTTAATAATTAAATGTTAGTCTGTGTAGCACAAAATTTCTCAGATCTATGACATCTCAACCATTCACCGCAGGCAAAGTGGGAGCAAAGCATGGAGTTAGTTTTGACAGTGCAGGCCTGGCTTGCACAAGCAAATCATGAAGCAATGCCTAGAGCAAGTTCTGACAACTCTCCTGCTTTGCCTGCCTTGTCAAAACATACAGACAAAGCAAGGAGCAAAGCCCAAAGTAAGTTTTGATGATGCTTCTGTTTTGTTGGGGCAAGTCTGATTGGGTGTTTGTTTGTTTTTTTAAATATTGAACTCTCTCTAAATTTCTCATAACACTGTTGGACATCATGATTGACCCAGGAAAACTATATTTCCAGTGAACCAGAATATGTGTAATTTTATCTGTAATTAACATGTGACTCTGAAATATAGAGAAACATTTTTACTTGGAAAGAAATAATACTTGCAACAGGAAGTATATTTAAATACAAACTGAGATAATTTTTCCCTTTGGTTAGTATGAAGCAGAGCTTATTGGCCAGGTTAAGGTCTTATTTAAAGGACATTTTTTAAAAAAATGTATACAAGCAGTTGTACCCCACATATGAAAATAAATATATGCTCTTCCATAGACCATCTTCTCTAAAATCATTTTGATTTACATTTATATTTACTTATAATGGCTAACCTAGAACAATCTCTGGGAGAGGCATTTCTATTTTTATGCTGCTCATGTTTTCCGTGAATAATTCATATATGTCTGCTCATATGTAACATAGATTGGCATTCTTTATCTATTGTGAACAAGCAGCTTTTGTTCCTCTGTACATGTGATCAAGTAATATCAAATAACAAAGGATAGCTTATTGTGGTCCTTGAAGTTGGAATGTGATCTGTTCCTTCCAGGGGAGTCAGAACTGTGAGCCAAAACCAAAACATTATTCGGAGCTGTTTACTAACTTGATTTGTTTGGTAGCAGTAAAGCAGGACCTCAGACTCAGACAACATGCGTTACTGTTCCTTCCTAGTTAATTTTTTCCCACCTCCATGAAGAGAGGAACAAAGCAAGAACAAACAAGCTATATATTTCAACCATGTTGCTGTTTTATAGTTAGCCAAGATAAACCTGGAACCCTATGTAGAAACATTTATTTATTTATTGTAATAATGTATATGTGGTCTACTTGTCAGACTCTGATAGCACATGATATGAAAACCCCAAGGCATGGAGGTTAAAAAAGTATATAAGCTGGTGAGAGATCACCACCAACCCAACAATTAAATTCAGAAGCTTTGAAAGGAAGCTGGCTGAGAAATAAGAGGGGGCATTGTACTATTTTTAAAAAACCAATTTGTCCTTGGTTTCCAATTTCACATTCAGGACTTTTCTTCCAGCCACATGGGGAACAGCATACCTGGTCACCACCTAGGTTCTTGTGGAATGTTAACACTATCCTTCCTACCCTGCCTTGGAGTCATGGCTAGTATCGGTCTGTAAGCTAGCTGCAGATTTTGAATAGAGGCACTCCTCAGTCCTTGCCCAGCCAGATCTCAGTGATATATAACTGATTTCCACCAACAAGTCATGGAGGTGCAAATGGACCTGATACTGAACAACATGGCTTGACTCTAAAATTTTCTACTCCACACTCATACTTACACTCTTACTCAGGCACAAACAGATGGGACTTTGTATATTTCTTATTTTACTTCTGATTCCTTATTCAACATTATAACAGCAGTGTATGATAAATACTGTCCCATCTCTGTTAAAATTCTAAGAACTTAATGGTACAGTCAACTGGTTTTTCATTTATCAGTTATCATGCAGCTTCATCTTATAGTTCATTGGTCCATTAAAGGGTGAATTAATTAATGGGGATAGATTTATGAAAGTGAATTAAACATCAGTTTGTACAGTATTCAAACCATACTTCTTATTCTTTATGAAGGGCTCCATCCCACTGTATATAACTGCTTTCAGGCAGGAACATGAATGGATACTAGGAGTATTCATTATTATTTAAAAGCAAGTGCTGCCTAAAAGATTATGCCTCTTTTCCAGGTTTAAAATGCCATTTAAAATTCCAGCCTTTTAAAATGCCTTTTTAATTTTTTTAAATATTTATGTATGCACCATCATTAGAGCCTATTGAACAATCCAGAGTGGATTCATGCCTTGAGGAGCTTGCAGTCTAAAATTTTTGACAGGGGATAGGAAAAATATTGGAAGGAGTGAGGAGAGCCAGAAAAACTAAATGGGGATAAAAGTTGTTATAAAACAATTTTCTCTGTGTGTGTGCTGATGTGGATTAGTAATTTGCATGGGAAAATTCAACATGTATTTTTAAATGAAAAACATGCTTGTTGATCCCAAGAAGCTGGTTTTGACTGTCTTTCTTAGAGACAGCACCTCTAAGGATGGATATCTCGGGCCGGTTATGGCTGAGATAGAGAAGAAGGAGAATTTAAAGTGGCCATAATACTGTGGACTAAAGAGAAATATAAAATAAATCGAATAGTATGTTTGTTTTGACATTCTGCATAGTTAAATATCCTATTTATCTCCTTTGTCATCTAATTATTATGATGAATTTGTGTAAAAATTACATAAATATGTTCTTTCTTTAGAGTTGCATTGCTGATTCCCTATTAGAATCATTTAACTGTCCCTTTAAAATAGAGACCATTTTTCTTTCCTGATATTTTCTCTCTCCTCCTTCCCTCTTTCCCTCCTTCTTAAGTGGAATCTAAGTAATTTGGATATTATTATAACCCTGTTTTCCCAAAAAAGCTTTTCTAGCCTGTGGTGAATAGAACAAGCCTCTCAGTTATTCTTGTGCAACTTCAGCATGTATCACACTTTTATTTGTAACAAGCCAGATTGGCAGCTATCCAGGATATTTGCTAATGTCAGTAATGACCAAAACTGTTACTTTTTTGTCTGAGCATTGTGTCCTTGTGTTCACCTTCTCTGAAACTCTCCATGCTGCATGCTAGCACGGAGCAGCCGTATCCCCCGACCCAGCGTGAGTCAGGGGTGCAGCCGCGATACCAGCCGTGAGAGCAGCCGAGATACAAGCCCTGCTCGGGGCTTTCCTCCACTTGGTGAGTACCTGTAGGCACTAGAGCTTCTAAGGGCCACCCCTCCTCTTTCTTGCTGGCTAGTCAAAATATCTCTGAGTGGAATGAGCTTGTTACTCTTTCCCCCTCCCCCTCCCCCTCCCTCCCCTCCCCTCCCCTTCCTCCTCCTCCCCTTCCTCCTCCTCCTCCTCCTCCTCCTTTTAAACTTCTGACATTCCCCCTTTCTGACCATCTTGTTTATTCTATTCCTTTCTGCATGCTTAAGTTCTGCTTTCCTTTACTAGGAAAACCCATGAGTCTGAAACGCTTTTGATGATTTCCAAATTCCAAATTCTTTGGAAATGTGCTTAAGTACCATTGGTCTTGACAAAAGCAGCCACTCTGAAGGCTACATCATTGCAGGGAAGGTTGATGCTACTGGAAAGCATGAGCTGTCCTTTTTGATCCAATGCAAAATAGGCTTCCTTGGGAGAAAATTTAGCAAATGTGTTCATAATATACTTTTTAAAGTTTGCATTGTATTCTTGGGCCTGAATGCATGCCATATCAAAGGTAACTTTTTCTGAACCCCAGATACACTGAGAGTTCCCTTTATGTGTAAAAGGCTTGTTACATAATTCATAGAGCTCAATTTCTAGTTTTGCGCTAGAAAAACTTTTACTGTCTCTCTTGGTTTTTACATTATGATCCAGCCACTGTAATTCACAGAGATCTATTTTTTCACATCAGAAACATGAAGTCTTGCTTCTTTGTATGTAATGTTTTTTCTGCATTATTATTAAAACAATTGCATAAGATATTTTGAAGAAAATTTTCTTATAGTCTGGGCAATCTGAAATCTTGAAAAGTGTGTGTGTGTGTGTGTGCATGATTGTTTCAGTTCAATGATGTCTGTAGTTTGCCTACATTGGGTTTATTTAGAGAGCAAGAGAGTACTTGAGATGGAGGAAAGAAGATGTTACAGACATTAAACTCATCTCATGGTGTCCATAGGGCCTCATTTTAACATTACTGATGAAATAATTCTGTGGGAAAGAATTAAGACATTAGAGTTGCAAGGTGGAGAAGTTGGAAGAATATGAGAAGGGAAAAGTGCTGTGACGCTTGTGAATGATTACTTCTTTCTTTCCTTTTCCATTTTTCCTGTTAGAAAGCTAGAGTCCCAGTAATGTCCCATGGAGGAATTGCTTGGTATACACATATTTAGTTACAGCACCAGACAAAACAAAATGGACAAAATAAAAATACTCAGCTCTCATTCTGCATATGGATAAAAAGCAAGAATATTTAATAATAGACATATGTGTATCATTGACTTACGAACAGATTAATCTAATTTGCCTACCAGTGGGTGTTAAACTTATAAAACAAAAGAATGCCCACTTGGGATTTTTTTTTTCATTTGCCAAGGTCAGAGATGGGCAGTCTGTGAGATCAAGCCCAGACATTAATATTTTGATTGGGAAATAAAGCGTGTGAGTTGTTTTGCTTGTGAATGGGCTAGGATTTTTTGGCATTTTCTGCAATTTTGTTCTATACACAGACACATACAGACACAGACACACACACACATTTTATTTAACTGAGTTATCTGTGTTTTAGGGTTCTGCTATATTTTCCTTGTGTTTCTTACCTAAAAATGGATGGAGAAAGTTCTGGGTGCTGCAAAAAAGGTGATTTGGAGCTTCATCCAAGCCAGCAAGTTCAATGTATATAAGTAAATAAATAAATAAATAAAGTTTATACAATCTTGAGTTAACTAAGGGCCACAGAAGGTTATTTTAAAATCCATTATGGAATCCTAACATCACTTTCTTTTGCTGCTATAAAAACAGGGATAAAGACTTCTGCCTTTGTTCTGACAGAATAGTTTGTATCACAGAAATTTGTGTAGAGCAAAGTGCTGATATTGTGAGTTAGAAACTAAAAAGTCAGAGTGAAGAACCTGTGTCCAGATATAAGACATTTCACCACAGAGCATGCTCTCTGCAACTGCTGAAAGATATAGTTCAAGAACATCTTGAGATGCAGATTCCCCATTTGTGTTTTACAGATATGTTAAGTCTACTTTATATATTCAATGTAATAATTTAACTGTTTTTAAATCTTCTCAAAAATGTGTGACGCTATAATGTGGTATTTGGCTGAGGTTTTAGCTTTGGTACTATAATAACAGGGCTCTTTTATTCATTTCCTTGAGTTAAAATCTGAACAGTTCATATGACTAAGGTCTGCCAAGAGTCGTCTTGATCGTGGTAGAGCATAAATCCAAGAAATAAAGAAAATCTGTAAAATACTTACTTCAGGACACTTAAAATCATAAATGTTGTAGTTCTTGAAAAAAAAAAGATCCAGATTTTAGGAGAACTTTAAATAGGTTTCAGTAGGGATGTCCTCCATTATTGGATTATACAGAAAATGTGTAAGAACACTTTACAGGTTTCCTGGATACTTAAAAATCTTAGGTATTTTTCATGTTTCCTTTCTTGTCAGAAAATATGTACTGATCAATATTTCAGTTACAGCTCCAGCTCTGGCCAAATTACCACTTTAGGAGAACCAGTGATTCATGTGTTTCCCGTCTCTCTCAGTTTTAATGGCTGGCTAGCACAAATAGCCAAACACATATTAATCAAAACTACTAATATTAATATAGAGTGCTTCACAAAATATTACTCTCATAATTGTCAGTAACTTCTCAGACTGCACTGCTAATTTGCATTATTCCAGCTTCACTGGGTCATTAGTAGCTAGCATTTTATTAAATAATTCAACAAATTGTGGATTGTTTTATTTTTAAGCAAATTCTAGGGCCTTTTAAACTATCCTTGTGTTTTTAACTCTGCGTGGTTCCATGCAAACCTGGTCATGAAACTCTGGTGGTCCGCAAACTCCACTGAGGTGACTTAATAAAGGTTTGGGTTAAGAATATCTGTACTAATCCCAACACTTGATTTGCTAACTTGGTAATGGAGATAAAGACTGCTTTGAGTAGAGCCAGATGATGATGACCTAAGCCTGTAAGACTGATTTATATAGAACAGCATCAGTTCAATATTTTTTGAATAATTTTTGAATAATTTTCCAGAAAGGAAAAAAAAATTATAGTGAGGGTAAACCAAAGCAGATATATTCTACACACTGGGAAAGCATGGCTATGGTTAATGAAATAATAGTTTTGATTTTTAGGACAAAAAAGTTTGTTAAATAATTCCTTAAAAATTCTAGCAATTTTGAGGTGATTTGCAAGAAACGAAAGTTTGAGAACCATGAGTCCGGTGAATAGAGAGATGGTTCAGAAATAATGGAGCTGAGACACAACTCCTCATGGCTCAGCTTCATCTTCAGGCTGAAAAGTTTCCCCTTTTTTGTTGATGCTTGTTGACTGGCAAGGTTTACTCACTGTGCTTGTCCCTGCTTGTCTATGTATTGCTTGACTCTGCCCAATTCACCCAAAGAAAGCCATACAGTATAGAAATATCTACATTGCATAGGGGTTTGAATACCCTTCTAGGGTTGCAGCGTGATTTGCTTGTCCTCAGCCTGCAAATGTTGCAATCTTTTTGATTTTAAGGATGCAGTTGGGTCTTTTTATGGGTAGTATTTTGTGCTTCCATATCTTAGGTTCATTAGAAATATTTTCTTTATAGTTCTTCAGTTCAGTCCCAGAATTAAAATAGCATTCCAAATGCAGCTTTAGTATGCATCTCATGTTGTTTCCTATAGGACAAGTTATTTCTTCTTTTCCTTTCCAGTCATAAACTAACAATTATGTACTACATATTGTTAATACAGATGTATGTTTTTCTTCCTGTCAGAACATACAATAATTGTACAGATTGAGCTATTCTATTCTTCAGCAACATTTTAGAAACCTAGTCAAGCAAATAATAATTTCCAAGCTCTTATATCTAGCTTAGGCTTTGGAATTGTTCATGTGCCTTTTTCCACATTGCATGTAATTTTGATTATTTAAAGACACATATCAACATAAATTCTGATTTTAGTCAAGTTTTGATGGGCTTTTAAAGTTCCATGTACCCTAAATATTTTCAGTTTAGAGCCATCAACACTACGAATACGATCTGGTTAAAATAAGTGTTGCTGTTACCCCTTTTCTTCTCAGGTATTCAGTTTTACTGCAATAAAGCTGGTTGCAGGCTATTCTGTAGTAGTATTTCTGCTATTACATTTTGTTGATCAAATTGCTTGTTAATCAAAATCCACATTGTACCTGAGTTTGTACATGGGCCACACCATATAAATTTTGGAGGTTCTATTGGATTAGACTCTGGGAAAGAATAAGCTTTGCTTGAAGAAAGCTCCAAGGACCAATCTCTGGCTCTACATTTAATAGTTCCAAGGTAGGAACTTTTCAAAAATACCTTCTTTTTGCGAGCCATGGGAGAGCTGTTGCCTGTCAGAGTGGATAGGATTGGAAGAGATAGATCAGTGATCTGAGTCTGCATAAAATTAGCTTTGCAATCAAATTAATAAGTACTTGAATAATAAATAGTTTGCTTGTCCTAAGTATAATTCATATTGTCATTATGTTAAATGAAGATTACTTCCTGTTGCCTGTTATTTTTCTGCACTCATTTACTTTGTCCCTGACTAAAAAATGGTATTTTATTGATTATGGGTTTTTGCATCTTTGAATAAAAAGACTGAACTTTTATAGTTGCAAGCACACTTTCTAAGGATTCATTGTGGCTCTCACCTTGGGATTTGGATTGTTTACATCTAAATCCTATTGCTGCTGAGTTAGTCATTTCATGTTGTCATGGTGATTCTCCTGTATCTGACAGGTGGTTCCTGCTATTGATCTCTGCTGGACTTCATACAAGCTGGAAGGCTTAGGAGTTATTCCTTTTGTTTTTCATGTATCATATGTTCCATGGTTGAGGGTGAAGGGAGGGTATGCAAGAATCTCTGATGTTGTTCCTACCATGGAGCTTGCAATTGATTTTCCTGTCCATTCATACACAATGCCATTTCCTTTCCCTGTGTAATTCCAGTGTTGGTATTGAATCATGTGCATCTCCTTTGGACTGTGGCATTGTTTTTGTCAGAAGTACTTGTGTGTTAATTCTGTGGGTGTTGCCATTCCTTTTACTTGCAGCCTCTCGACGTCATTCCAGGTCCACTAGTGCTCTCTCCACTGCTGATTCTGTTGGGCAGTCAGGTGAACAAGTGCTAACTGCATGAATCTGCTTCTTAATATTGTCTCTTTTTATTACCTTTGTAACATTTGCTGTCACAAATGTCACTCAGCATTTAGCATGTGGGATCATCATGAGATTATTATTATTTAACATGCTTTTGTCATTTTCTATTTTGAATGTTTTCATTTTTGCTCATTTTTATTCTTTTGCTTAATGTTATTTCTGGAAAGCAAACAATATTACAGTGGCCAGCTGAGTTCTGTCATGTATTCCCTGTGTACTTCTCAGGTACTAAGAAAGACACTGGAAACTCCTCCTCTTTGTACCTATGAAAAGCAGCTGTACTGATTATTCATTATTCCTTAGTGAGGAACATTTTTAACATTCAACAAACAGCAAATGAGATTAATGCAACTAAGGAGCAGGGTCAGTGTTCAGCCACAGACTTTGAGTTTTTAATACCTTACTGATTAGGTTCACACATAGTGCTGAACTGTAGTCTAGAGCCATATGTGTATGAGCAAAAGGCACTTTTATGGATAACCAGAACTCAGATATTTTACTTCCCATTTTTTTATAAGTGGTTGGGAGAAGAAATCAACCAGGATCTCATTCTGCTTTACACAAGCATTCCCTAGCCTCAGGTATTCCCGATGTGTTGGCTACAGTTCTCATCAACCTAAACCATCATAGCCACTCACCATGTTTAGTAGACTCGTAATTCAAAAATCTGGAGAATGCCAGCTGCATTAGCTAGTTCTTGACATGGTCTTAGTTACAAGCCAGTAACTAGTTTGTTAAAGTAGGGTTTATGATGGTTAGTTTAATGCTAGTTTCAGTTGATTTTAAATGATACTTGGTTTGTATATAGTGACAGTTATGGAATTGAATCTTTCTTTACTCTCCCCCACCTGGCCTGGCAATGGGGGAATGAGCATCCAGGTCTGAGGCTTTACCAAGGTTCTTTTATGCTAGTTCATGTAGTTCTACATGTACACCCTGGTATTGGTGGGCAGAGTGGCAAAACTTTGCCCACCGATCTCAACATTTATAGTTTTTTAGACATAAATAAAAGTGTAGTGTTTCAGTTTAATGGACTGGTTGCTTAGGTCTCCTTTGAAAACTATGCTACTGCTTTGAAGACTGGAAATTATATAAAAATTAGATTTGAAAAAGAAGTCATTAGGATGTTATCTGGGATTTGGAATATAGAAATACTGAAAGAAAAAAAACTGGAAACAGGATCTACATTTATTTAATATATAAGTTTTAAATAACTGATGATGTAAACCAGAAGAGAATATTTATTTGTGTATTTTACCATATGATTTTTTTTTCTAATTCCTATCAAGTAAATTCCAGATTTATATCTGAAACTTTCCCCCTATTTACCTAATAGTTTTGACTCTATGTGGACCACAGAAATCACCCCATAATGTTCCTTGCTTTCTTTATCTTGATTTAAATTTAAATGGTCCCGCTGAATGTTAAAGAAGTTTTGCTGATGCAGCTATTTTTAACATTAAAGCTTCATATGCAGAATATTCACAGAAGTCCCTTTTGTTGTAAGAGATTGCTGTTCTTTAACTTAAGTGAGACCCAGTCATGTATGTGACGTCCATCCAAGTTAGTTCATAACAAAAGTCCTTGTGTATCACAGACTAGAGACCATAGCCAAGACTTTGATGGGTAAATTCCAGCTCACTCAGCCCTCCCCACCACTACTCACACACTGGCCAGTTGCCCATGAAACAATTGCTGTTTCTCTTTTCCCACTTTCTCACCCATATATCTTTTCTGCTGGCCCTGTCTCTCCACCTCTTGGATGCATGGCTTGTTGGTGATAAGGCTTACTCTTCCAAAAATACAGCCTGCTATAAATATGCTGGCTTAAGCTTGGCCAACACTGCCAAATATGCTCAGCATTAGCATGCTAATAAAACTTATAATTTGGGGATGTAAACTTAGTATGCTGATTGTCGCACATAACCAGCAACAATTTGCGGTGTTTAATATTCAGGACTGGATTCAAGCATATTGAATCCAACATTTGCAACATTTCTTTAAATACATATTGCTTTATATTTGAATTAGACCTCACTATACTACCATCTTGATAACATAAAGTGTTTATCCCAATTATGCTTTATAATATTAATCCTATATTATTTCCCGACTGAGCTCCCTCCAGATATGCTTGAATACCATTTCTATCGTCCCCAGCCAGTCTGGCTAATCACCATGATAGCTAAGAGAGTGAGTTGCGGACCAAAATACTTGGGAGGGAGCAGGTTTGGAAAGGCCACTTTATATTCTGCTAATGTTCATCAGTACAGTGTGAATTACCTTGGAACAATATTAATTTCCATGGATTTAATTAAAGGCATACCATTTTGTAATTTTCCGGTAAAATGATTTCTTCAGCATCAGATAAATTATTTACGAAGTTGAAATGGCAGGACACAGCACCATCAATTTTTCTGTGTAATGGGGGTACCTATGAAGAGATTTGAAAATTTTCAATCACGACTTTAGAACTGTCACCAAGACTCGAGCCCCTGCCTTAGTACCTGAGTATGATTATTCTTTGCTTAATGACCCAGAATTTCCATCACTAAGCAAAACGGTCATTAGGCCAAACTTCATGTGACCACACCACTTAGCAGTCCGGTTGCAGTCATTAGGCAAGGACTGCATACTTCACCTGCCCTGCCATGTGCTTACCTCCACTTCAACTCCCCCCCTCCGCCTATCTTCCCCCACATTTCTGCCCTTTTGGCTGCCCTGCACACCACTGCTGCTGCCTACCCCTGCTGCCCCTCCGTCGCCCCCAGCTGACCTCCACCATCATCTTCCACTGCTGATGAGGGGTGCCCAGCCAGGGCAGTTGCTGGCTCTTTGTAAGGCCTCCACAACACTGCGCAAAGCCTTCATGCGGCATTGCCAAGTCCTCGTAAAAGGGTCTGCATTTGCCTCGGCTGGGTATGCCTCATCAGCAGTGGGAGGAAGAAGACAGCAGAGGTCAGCTGGAGGTGGTGGGAGTAAGCAGCAGCATAGTACAGAGTGACCAGAAGGGCAGAGATGGGGGGAGGGAGATAGGTGGCAGTCACGAAAGCCTCACAAAGGGCTAGCGTTTGCCTCAGCCGGGCACACCTCGTCAGCAGTGGGAGGAAGAATATGGTGAAGGTCAGCAGGGGTAGGCAGCAGAGTGCAAGACAGCCAAAAGGGCAGAGATGGGGGGGAGATAGTCGGCTGGGGGAGTTGAAGTACATGCCGCAGTTGTAAATGCAGGCAAGCTGCCAAGCACCCAAATTCTGATCACGTGACTGTGGGGGCACTGCAGTGGCTCTGACTTCAAGGACTGGTCATAACTATCATTCCTTCAGCACCATTGTAACTTTGAACGGTTGCTGAATGAATGGTCATCAAGTGAAGACTACTTGTATGCTGAGTTCTCTGCCTGTATAGTAGCTTCAGAGTCTTCTGGGATTAATTTGGGATTTCTGCTCATGCTCCTGAGGTATATTTCCATTAGCTGACAGTGTTATAATCTAGACAGGAACTGAAAAATACAGAATATAATCCAGTGCAGAAGTCCATTTCTTCATCATCATCATCATCATCATCATCATCATCATCATCATCATCTTCATTTCATCGGTGCTATCCATACGCTGAAAAGTGGAACATAAAGTTGCATGTCGAATATACTTAACGTGATTTAATTTGTTTCTACTGAAAATTTTAAAGGCTTGCAACTTACTTTACTTTGCCATTTTGATTATCCATATCTTTTAAAAACTATCTTCCCTTTTCTAATGCAATCACAATTTTTCTTCAAAACAACATGAAGCCAGGTTCAGCACTGGTTCTTCTGGAAATTGAGTACTTTAGCTGGTATCACTGGAGTAAGATTTTCACCCTTTAGTTTATATAAGCATTTTTGCTGCCAAATTAATTTCTTAGAAAAATGTCCTTTTGGAGGGTGGGTATCAGTATTCAAACTGCGATGCAAAGATTGCTTTCCATAGATTAGGACTTGTCAAATAATTATTTTGTACAGTATCAAATCAATATGTAATCTTCTAGGTAAGGTCTTTTTTTAAACAAACTTAGCTGCATATTCACGATTGACTCCTTTTTCATTGTTCCAAAAATTACTAATGTCTCATGTCATGAAACTAGTCAAGTAACATCCATGGGATATCATCCTAGGAAGCATGGCAAGGTCCTTGATACAGTGATAATACTGACTTGCAATGTCTGTGAGCAAAACTTACCATTTCAAATGCTCATGTGTTCTTTAGTGGAAAAACATTGCAGTATGTATACGTGCAGGTATAATGAATATGTATGTGTATATGTTTTTTCCACAAATAGTAGAAATCTAGTCATACTTTAAATTCTTTTCAAAAATGTTATTAATGATAATTTTGCAAGATTCAACTCAGGGGTGAAATTCCATTTCAGTTGGGCCTGAGATTGGAACTAACGAGATGAAAAATGTAGTTATCCTATGATTGATTACATCTTTGAAATGTCCCGCTCAGTTTGTTCAGCATAGAACTGCAATATATTTTCATAATGTACCATATACCTACTGGGCCTTAAGATATTATGTTGAATTAACAAATCGACATAGCAGGACATTTGGATTCTCATATTCATTATCATCATCTCACCAGATTCTTCTGCTTGGAGCAAAGGTGATGTTTGAAGCGAGCATCTGAGCTGCTTCAGCAACTAGATGCATTAAAAAAGGAGATAGTATACCGTTTTTCTTTCCCTGTAAACCTCATCAACAATTCCTTTTCAAAGCAGGTTTTCATTAAAGACATTTAATTTTCGCATGTAATGTATATTTATGTTTAGAAAATGTGCTTGTTGTAAACTGTCTAATCTTAATAAAATTTGAAAAATAGCAAACTCTAAGTGGCATTGCCACAATGCTTAAATATCTAATTTTGCTTTCTTTACATTAGCGGCAGTAATTCTTCACATAGTTCATCTGATCTTGTTTTCCTTAGTGCAGACTTAACAAATACAATAAAGTTGAATGGATTTTTTGTCTGCAAAGGCTTAAAATCAGTTCATAAATGATATTTCCCAATGAAATTTTTCTGTTTCTAGGTTTCTGTGATGCTGGCATTTTCCCCAACGGATATCGAAAGACATTTCTGTGCATTAGAAAAAGCATAAATTAGAAAGCATAAATCAGTGCTTAAACAAATGTTGTTTTTAAGTAGCGCACCCTTAAAGAGTTACATGCAATTTCTTAACAGAAAAAAGTGCATTTGCGGTTAGCCACAAATGATAATTTGTGCATCCATCTTCTAACATAGCTGGATACAGCACTATGAATGAAGTCCAGTTTAATGGGGCTACAATTTAGTAAAATAAATAAATCAGTAAATACATGCAATAATCTAAATCTTTATTAGATTTACAATATTAGCTGGACACCATTGAACAGATTTTTTGATGTGCCTGGGAAGCATATTACCATTTACTGCTGGTTACATACCGCTAATTGCCTTCACTGGAATGGCTATTTTAAAATCTCCCAGGGTTAAGCCTTTGGGAGGTCACTGAGGAGGAAGGAAAGATGACAACCGCACAATGTAAGCAACACTGGTCAGGACAGTTCTGTTTAAAAAGATCAATCAGTAAACCCACCCATTTATGATATATTGAAAAATGCACACTACTTCTAATGTTGCATTATACCTCCGATATTGGCAGTGTTTCCCAATCTTGGCAACTTTAGGATGCACAGAGCATGCTGGGGGATTCTGGGAATTGAAGTCGTCATATCTTAAAGTTGCCAAGGTTGGGAAACACTGCCATATGGCATACTTATAACAATCATAATGATTTAATCTTTAGATTTAAGGAAATAAAATAGTAAAAGAGTGATTACTTTAAAAATCCAAATTAATCTCCAAATTAGTTAATCTCAAAAAATTCTTAGTGGACTAAATAAATTAGTTTTTTTTTTTTAAAGGTATAATATCTATCTATCCACATTTATATTTATATTAAGAGATTAGAGGGGGGAAATCTTAAAACACTTTATTTGATGGTCTATAAAGATTTATTCATCTTCCAAATACAATGGGAATAGAGCATAGAGTATTTATTTAAAAAAAACCTCAGCTTTAACTTTTTGTTGATCCGTTATAAAAATTGCTTGAGTTTTCCTTTGTCTTGGTATTGTTTTCACTAAAAGTTAACCAGCAAGTAAACCAATATACAACAGTCAGAATAATGGAAACTATTCAGATTAAGACTTGAATAAGTTAGTTGACAGAAATATCACTTGCAGGACCTGGAAGTTAACAAATTAACAATATATTACTGCAAGTTTTTTACTAAATTGAAGAAGTTTGCCATAATACTTACACTTCCTCCTTTGAGAAATTGAGAATAATGTCTAAAAGTAGTTACATTTAAACAGTACTGTAAAAGAGTTTAAGTAACAGTCTCCCTCCTGTCGCTGTTTTCTAACCATATACGCAGGGCTTGTTGGACTTTCTGTTATATCCGCATAGTAGCCCCTAAAAATTGGACCTGATAAGAATTAAAGCAGCAGGGTGAGAGCTCCCTGTCCTGGTTGAAAGCTCCTGGCCAGCAGCCTTATTAATATTCCAAGGGGCTGTGAACTCATGTAACGACGGCTTTCGCTCTTGTCTTTTGTGCAGACCGGTTTGGGCTTGGCCAGCCAGGCAGGTTGCCTGCCTCTATGAATGCCATGCGAGTTCTCAGTACGAGCACAGATCTGGAGACTGCTGTGGCAGATGCACTGGTAAGAAGGAGAGCACGACATGTTACCAACTCCAGAAAGTTACTTGAGGTTGCTTTCTGTACGTACATTTTCCTCTCTCAGTGTTGTATCTGTTCCTGTTGAAGGAGCCTGTGTGTACATGGGACTCTGCCTAAATATTTCTTTAGCAGTTGGGAAGATGTGAGGAAAGGGAGTTGAATGCGTAATTGCACTGTGAAAAGCTACGTGGTTGGTATTAGTGCAGATGAAGTGTAGATGATGGGCTCCGCAGTCTGATCCTGATCTCTTATTTGTGGAAATAAATCTTACTGTTTGTATTATGTTTCAAGTAAATGCATTATAATAGTGAAACCATTTATGTCAAATGTTTGTGAATGCCACTGTAGTTTTTTATGAAGTAAATTGCCTAGTTTCCTAGTACGAGTAGTGGGGAATCCTTACGCTGGATGAGTTTGTATGTGCAAGGTGTTTGCTTCTTGTTCCACAAATGTGCTTGATTTTTATTCTTTTTTTCCATCTTTGGAGAGTTAAAATTTGTAGCTGATAAGTCTATTGAGAATAAATTGCCTTGTATTACCTTAGGGAAAGTTTGTAAGGGTTACCATGACAAAGGCTCCTGTCATTGATTCTAGAGGTTTCTGATTAAGGCCATATTATTATTATTATTATTATTATTATTATTATTATTATTATTATTATTATTAT